ACATGAAAAATTATTGGGTTTTATCTTACTCCTTAGTTAAAAATATGCTGCTACTGAGTTAAATAAATTGCTTAAAATGCACCTATATAATATCAGCTTGCCATTTCATCTCACAGAATTCTCTTTTTCTTTGCTGAAAATTTCCCTATACTTTCTGAAGACAATCAATTCTTTGATGCATATCAATCAGCTTATTTGTTTCCTAGTTCAATATGTGCAGAAGCAGGCTGACCAAATTTGAGAAAAAAAATCTGTCATTGCCCCATTAACACAAAATGTAGGAAGCTAACCAGAAGTTGGGAAACGGGCAGAGCTCGTACTCCATCCCCTCCCCACCACCAACCCCTTGTCCAACCTGAGAACCACATAGCACAGAGCAGGTCAGGTCCAGCCTTGGACGAGCTGCTCAGAGCAGCTCCGTTAGCAAAGGGGCACCAGGCATTGACTGCATACAGAGGGGGACACTGGCGGAACCAACAAGGCATAAATTCATCCAGGAACTATATCCCAAAGAATTCAGGAGGCAGAGGGATTATGATGCACAGAGTGAGGAAGACGAGGACAGAACTCCTCTTTGGTCAGTAACAACTACACAGAAACAAAATAAGTTTTGGCAGCTCTGGGGAGATCCTGGAGGGTACTCTGAGAGAGCCATGGAGGTGCCTGACAGCTCTGTTGTTTTCCTTCTTTTTAAAGCTGAGATAGAATTAACATAACCTAAGATTGGTAATTTTAACTGTTACAAAGTTCAGTGCTCTTAGTATATTCACAATGTTGTGCAACAGTTACGGCTATCTAATCCCAGAGCATTTCCATGATCCCAAAAAACCCTACACCTACTTACCCCTTTCCCGCTGGCTGTAGCCCCTGGCAAGCACTCACCTACTCTCTGTCTCTACACATTTCCCTGCTGTGGACATTGCATATAAACGTAATCAGATCATATGTGGCCTTTGGTGCCTGACTTCTTTTACTCAGCATCACATTTTAAAGATTCACCCATGCTGTAGTATGCATCAGTACTCCATTCCTTCTTATGGATGCATCACATTCTGTTGCCAATCCCTTTATTTTAAAGTTTTTTAATTCTTTATTTCTTTTTGAGAGAGAGACAGAGAGAGAGGAAGTCACAGAATCCGAAGCAGGCTCCAGGCGCTGACCTGTCAACACAGAGCCTGATGCAGGGCTCGAACACACGAACCATGAGATCATGACCTGAGCCGAAGTCAGACATTTAACCAACTGAGCCACCCAGACGCCCCTCTATTGTCTATTCTTGAACATACAACAGACATGTATTTCTGAATCCCACTGGCACAGGAGAAAGCAGGAGCTATACTCGTTCTGAAGGATGGGTATTCCCTGATAAGAGATGAAGTGGTATAGACAGTATCTTCATGATACTGTTCACAGTTGTAATTCTGACGATCTCAGATGGAGCTCTCTGGTTTGTAAATTCATAGTGAATTCTGTGAATAACTTGGGAATACTAAAAATCTCACTCTCAAACATAAGGAGCCAACGTAAGCAACAGGTTGCATATCAGCCCTTATTAACAAAGGCACTGAAACTGGCCCAGGTTCAAAAAGGAGACTGGCAGGAAGAGGCAAGAAAAGAAACAAATCATTCTGAATGAGGCTGTTCCTGCCTGAGATCCTGTGAAAATGACGAGGTAGCTGCAGAGTTACATGAAGCTGAAAAGCAATGCTGCTTACCCCTAGGATTGAGCGATTCAGCAATAATTAAAATGCCTGTGTGGCAGAGAGGGTTTATCCTGTCTACCAGTTCTCACGGGAAAGGCCGCCTGCCTGGCCCCGGGTATCCATTAAGCAAACGAAGGGTGTAGCCTGCATCCGCGAGATAAGTGCTATGTGCTTTCCAAAGGCCAATGCTGAGGTGTCTAATATGGTTTCTTACTAAGTCAACAGGAAGATGATAAAAGCAGCAAAGGGCTATGGAGACAGAGCGCAGTGTGATCAAGTAGGACACCTGGTGGCTGACCAAGAAGAGAGATAAATATCTTCATTCCAAATATTCAAAGATTTCACATCATGTAATGCAATCTAAAAGAAGGAGATGCCATGTTCTGACCCTCAAATTAGCAAATGATTTATTTTATTAAAAAACAATTTTAACATTTGTGTATTGTTGAGCGACAGAGTGTGAGTAGGGAAGGGGCAGAGAGAGAGGGAGACACAGAATCTGAAGCAAGTTCCAGGCTCTGGGCTGTCAGCATAGAGCCTGATGTGGGGCTCGAACCCACAAACCGTGAGATCATGACCTGACCTGAAGTCAGACGCTTAACCGACTGAGCCACCCAGACATCCCTGATTTTTTTTTTTTTTTTTTTAAATCACAAGTTGTGTTAGGGAGGATTCTGGGGAAGCAGAATAGAGGTGGTAAGTTGGTACTGCCTTTCCATAGGGTAATTAGGCCTTGGTATCAAAAACCCAAAACCTGAGTTTCACATTCTCTTTAAGTCAGAATTCCACTGCTAAGTTTATCTTAATGGAGTTTTCACAGATGTGCCCAAGATTTAGCTACCGATATGTCTGTCATGGAATTGCTTATAATAGCAAGAAATGGGAAACAATGTCAACATCCCCAAATAGAGTAACAGTTCATAAATTAGGATTCGCCATATATCTAAATATCTTTTGCTATGTACTAAAAGGGAAAGAGGTACACCATTTACTGTTCACGAGAACACATTCTATATAAATATTTTGGTTCAAAGGAAAAGAGTCGCTCACAAAAAACACACTGAGCTGTGCACAAGGCAATTAGGAGGAAGGACAATTATGGCTTAACTTTCACTTTCTACCTCGTTCTTTCTGTGATGAAAACAAAACTAACTTATTTATTTTTTAAAAGATTTTGTTTTTAAGTCACCTCCACACCCAACATGGGGCTTGAACTCACAACCCTGAGATCAAGAGTTGCATGCTCCACTGACTGCCAGCCAGGCGATGAATTTACTTTTTTTTTTTTTTTTACTTATTTTTTAATTTATGTGAAAAAAATTCACAGAGCCAGCCAGAAAACACAGGAATTGTCTACAATGATATTTTAGCTCCCAAAGGGAAGGCAAGAACCATGGAGGATGGAAAACCTGAGCCCTCAAATCACTGCTGTTCCCCATTTCTGACTAGCCCCCACCGGCCCACTCCCCCTGGAGGCGATTTCAAATCCTCACACTCTTTTCAAGTTCCCCTCCCCACTCCTGCCCCCTCCACTCTCAGCAGAGGACTCCACATTCTATGTGTCATGGGAAGAAAAGGAACAGGCCACCAAGTAGAACTTCTTCAGGTATCTTGTGCCGCTCTCTTTCAAACACATCAGCATTTGCACACACAGTAAAGTCACGGAGAGCAGATGTTCTTACTCTACTTTCACTACTACATCCTGCCTCCATCCCAAGGTCAAGGAGGAAAAGGACTGGAAAATGCAACAGGGTGCAACCGGACACTTAACCCCAACACCACTGCAAGTGAATCCAAACAGTGGGAAAGCAGCGGACTACAGGGGATTGTGGGGCAGAGGAGATGCCACCTCAACTCTATGAAAAGATATGGGAATTACAAATAAATATATGTATTTACTTTAAGCGAGAACAGCAAATATAAACGACTTTACTTTTCATTACAGCATGATTAACCTGTGGTAAGCTGTACATATTCAAAACGTACACATTTTATCGTGTGAATAGGCCCAGGAAACCATCACCACATTCAAGATAATGAACATACACAGAAGTTTCCTCCTGTCCCTTTATTTCTCCCTCCCATCACTCCTTACCTTGGGGGGAGGAGGGGGCATAGACGAAAGCCTAAATTTGTCTGACATCACAGAGCTACGAATACATCTTTTCCCCTTCCTTTCACTAAGCTGGCTGGGTTCAGAGCTCTGTTCTCCCACCCCCAGGACATTGCAATGGCCCTGATCTCCAGGGTTACCCACCTGCTCCAGTCACAACCCCTACTCCTGCCCCTACACATGATCCCTCTGTTTATTATATCACGGGCAAGTCCAAGATCCTCACCGAGGCCTATGGCCCCTCAGGATCTGGATCCTGCCGTTCCCTTGAGCCTTATTTTTGCTAGCTCCCCAAGACTCAAGTGCCTGCCAGGTACCCCATGTGCTGCGCTCCCCAACTCGCTTCCAGCGTCTTTTCACAAGCTGTTTTCTTGATTCAAACCAGCAACCCCAGACCCTCACGGCCCCAGGAAACTCCAACTTGTCCTTCTAGAATCTGGATCAGTGGTTCTCAACCAAGGCGATTTTGCCCTTTAGGGAACATTTGGCAAAATCTGGAGACATTTTTGGTTGTCACAGCTGGGGGGCAGGGGAATGGGTTGGGGGAGAATGCTGCTGGCATCTAGTGGGTAGTGACAAGGGCCACTGCTAAACGTGCACAGGACAGCCCCCAGCAAAGAATTACCCACTTCAAAAGGTGATGGCACAGGCCAAGAAGCCCTGATTAGATGAAAACTCGCACATCCCAATTTCTGTGCAAGCCCTCCCTTGCCTGCCCCCCAAAACAAGCCCCACGCTTTGTTGTCAGGTCTGTCCCAACAACCCCCCATTTTAGCCTTTATCGCACTGTGTGACAAGTTCTGATTTACTTGTCTGCCTGCTCCATTAAATTATAATTGCTTCTAATGCAGAGACCATCTTTTCATCTGTATATCCCTGGTGTGTAACAAAAAAGCTCATTCACTGTTTTGTAATTAAATTTTAAATAACTCGTATTAATAATGGATGAACAACAGAGAGGAAGGAGAGAAAGAAGCACTTATTCTCCTGGCTCTACCACAAAAATCCTTTAAAAACCACACAAATAATACCTGTTTGCTGTAAAAATGTTACAAAATACAGATAAGAAAAAAAATGTGTTTTTGAATAGGCAGAAGCAACTGTTTCAAGGGGGGAGCGGAGGACTCTGGAAGGTGGTGCTAGGGTTTCTGCAGAACGAGTCCCAGTATGTACTCTATACTTACTTGAGAACAGCAATCTCTTGAACGGTTATGGCCCGTTTATCTTTGGTTCCCATGTAGGAGAATATGTTTGGTTTGACTCTGGTAAAACAAAAACAAACATATGAACTTGCACACCATTACGAAACTGTATTTCTCGTAATTTAAGATTCAAAATAAATATAAGAAAGTAAACACCGCCCAAATAACTCCTTTCTTAGCAGGGCCCAACTTAGAACATTTGTGGTGAGTGAGTAGCATGTCATTCAAAGACTGGCTAGCCAGTAACCACAAAGGAAACAATGCATTTCCTACTGATCGCGGGCTGTTCATTAGATCACACACCTGTGAAGGTAAAAAGAAACTCATTTCTGACAACATACCACTCTGAAAATTTTACATCTTCAGTTTTTAAAAAGTTAATAATAATGTGAAGTTTCCAAAAACACATGCTATTTCTTTGCATTAAGAAAGCCAAATGCTAAAATAGGGATAGGAATAGTTTTGATGTAAAAGTGTAAGTAACTACGTTAACTAAGAAGTATTCTACAGAAACCGTTCCACATGAGAAGGAAAACCACAGGAAAAATTTCTTCAACTCTGTGCACTCCCCAACTGCAGATCTCAGAGGAACTCCCTCCCCAGTGGTCTATTCTCCCAGGCTCAGGTACAGACAGGTACCACTGACTCTCTCCCAGACAGCTAACAACTGGAGTAAAATAAAATGTTACTTATAGAGTACTGCGTCCTACAAGCTGAATGATCTTTTCCCCCAAATTCATATGTGGAAGCCCTGACCCCCACTACCTTAGAACAGTAACTGTATTTGGAGATAGGGCCTTTCAAGTGGGGGTTAAGTTAAAATGAGGCCAGTTTAGGGTGGACCTTCCGAGCTGACTGGTGTTCTAAAAAGAAGGGAAAATTTGACCACATAGACGCCAGGGACACATGCACACAGAGGGAAGACCATGGCAGGACACGGAGAGCCGGTGGCCATCTGTAGGCCAAGAAGAGGCCTCAGAAAAAAAAACAAGTCTTGGGACTTCTAGTCTCCAGAGCTGTGAGAAAATTTGTTTGTTACTTAAGCCACCAGTCTGTGATATTTTGTTATGGCAGCCACAGCAAACTATCACACTGTGTACCATGTTTAAACTGGGTTTACTATATATCAGAAAGTAAATTTCCATTGCACACAGATTTGCTGCGGTGTCTGTATCCATGATGGAAGAAAAATTCTTCGGCACCAGGCCCATCCTCAGAGACTCCATCTCTGCTATATTTGCACTCCTATGAGAAAATCTGACTGGTCTCAGGTTTTCAATCTAGTCAATCTCCAAGAATTAAGAGTTTACAGTCTAGTAAAGCAAATCCCAGCAAACACATTGAAGCATGGGCTTCCGGGGAGCAGGTTAATTTTTACTTTCAGCTGGACAGACTGGTAACTCTCAGCTCTACGTGAACTACTCACTTAAAGAATTTCCACCTCGGATCATTGGCAATAAGCAAGGAGGTTAGAAGAATTCACCTACTATCTAAGGAAACTATAATTGGGAGACACATTTGCTATCCATTTGCCTGTTTTCCCACTCCTTTTTCATTAGCGTGCAAAGAGGATTTTGTATGGGCACAAGAACAAGATACTAACCGTAAATATTTAGACAGTACGTTAATAGCATCCATGGTGTCTTTGTTTTCCTTGTAGAGTACAAAGTGGCAGTAACTTCCCCTAGATTTTGGCCAAGAATGTTTTCTTGGATCTTAAAAACAAAAAAATTAAATGTTATATATACCATAATAAAAGCAATCTAAGTTTTTTCTTATGAAACCTACAAGCTCATTTTTCACCAAAGAACCTCTGAGTGAGAAATCAGATCTAGTCTGACAAGAATACAGGTTAAATGGTTACAGTTGTGCAGACTATAGGAATTATACTTCCTGTGACTGGGTACGCAACATTGTCCATATTTACAATCAAAAGCTGAAATGCAGGTGTGATAAATGAGTGAGACTAAACAGTGGTCCTCATACAGAGAAACAGAGAGGTCCACCGTTCCCCCGATGGCTTCTAGGTGGGTACTGGCCTTCTAGAACACACACAGTCCAGAGGGAAACAGCACTCCAGTTGGCATCTATACACCTTGCTTTGTATCCTCGGCCAGGTGTTCACACACCCCGGTTGGATGCCTCCACAGCGACGGGGATAAAGTTTGTGAAAGTTGCCACAGTGATGGGTTTGAATTTTCCAAAGGCTACTTCAGTCACAAAAGTTTAGTTAATACTAGTTGGTTTACAAATGTTTACCTGACAGAGCAAGCAGCTGCCATTCAAAACAAAATGGGTCATTATTCTTGGGGAAAAGGAAACTAAAAATTAAGCCAAGTTAAACGTTAACTTCTGAACTACAGTTAGTTTGATTGTTCAACTTTCTGAACACTGGCAAATCTGTCCAGACTTCGGAGAACTTTTAAAAGTATTCTTTTAAACGAACATTTTAACTATACTGTAATGTAGAGACAGATTTTTAAAAAAATACTAGGATTTAAACTTTGATTTTGAAAAATCAACGTATTTGGGAGAAAATATGTAAGCCACAATCACACTTTCAGACGCTGTACAATAAGACTCATGGGTCTGGAGCAACACACAGCTGCCACTGTTACTTGAACACATCTAATTCACTTGATTCTGTAGCTCCATGAAAGAACAACTGTGGAAAAATACTTCATACAATCCTTAAGAGTTGTCTTCTCTTAAAAATGTTCCCTTGTCTTTGTCCCTAAAATAATCCTTTAGCATGAACTCATGAATCCTTCTTCTTCACAGAGATAAGAAACTCCTGGCACTGAAGTTGCTAAGACACCTGGCTTTGTCAAGGCAAAAAGCATTCTCGATAGGCCAGTGATTTATGCTACAATGTAAAGAACAAATGAACCAATAAATCATCTCGGAAAACTGCCACAGCACGTATGCTGGGCGATTGGCTTTTCCTTTCTGATAAATATGAACGTGAGTCTTTTCTGTCTTGGAGAAAAAAAGTATTTCTTTGGCTCTTGGTGTGAATTCCTCACAACTCATCCTCAGAAGATTGTGAATAAGAGTATTATTTTTGGCTTTCCTTCCAGCTCACTACAGTGAAATAAAACTGTCTATACTTAGCACTTGGGAGAAAAATCATTGGCATTTCATTTTATCTACATGAAACACCAACCGCTCTTACCTGCTGCAGTTCTGACCTCTGTCCAAATGCACAGCATAAAGAGCACAAGAGAGCAATGTTTAATTCAGAATAACGTTAAAGTGCTTAAGAGGTGAACATGCAAATGATCGCATGGACAGGTTACCGAGGACTGCTACGGCACCTGCTAGTCATGTGGTGGGTTAACAGCCATTCAGACACGAACAATGGAATGTCTCAGAGGCACATGGTGAACGAGGAGAAAACTCACCTACAGGGACAAGCCTCCCTGTCTCAACCTCCTCACCTCCTCACAATGACATGTCAGTGCGTCCTCAAAGTTGCATGGGTACACTGTCTGTACCCGAGGGATGTAGCAAAAGGTTTAAGACTGAATACAATATACCATACACCTGAAACTAATGTTACACTCTTATGTCAACACACTGCAATTTAAATAAGAACTTAAAAAAAGACTGAATACAAAATGCTTCCACATTTAGAGACTTGTTTTCACAGAGTACTACCTAAGATTATTTTTAAGATTACCTAAGTAATTACTGCTTTGTGTTTTTCTGGGTTTTATGAGTTTCCTGCAGTCAGGTACAACAACGTTACTTGAAAAAAATCATTACAGAAACAGTTCTCCAGAACTGATAAATTAAAAGGGATTTGAGATGACTTAAGAGACTTATCTATTGAATGAAATGTTCGGAACTTGTTTCTATCATTTGACAAGTAATCTGTATGTAAAAGACATTTTTGAGACAGGGAAAAACTGAACGTGCCCTGAGTATTAGATATTAAGAAATTATTGTTCCTTATGTTGGATGTGATACTGGTATGGGGTTTTAGGCCTTAGCTGCTAAATACATACTGAAATACTGATAAGTGAAATGAAGTGCTATGTAGAATTTTCTTTAAAACACTCCACAAGAAAAAATAAGTGGGAGGAGAAGATCAAAGAAAAACAACAGAATGCCAGTCCTGAAGATGGGTGATGGGGGTACAGTGGTTCAATACTACTTTGTGCACCCGTCTGAAAATGTCCGTAATAAAAAGTTAGCAAAAACTTGTGATAAAAATTGATGAAGTGCAAGCTATACTTTCCCTTAATGACCCCTTCAGAGCATTCACAAACAACTATAATGGTGAGAAATAAATGAAGCCACAAGGTGAAAAAGCTAAACGCTATTACACCTTGAGGGAGACCATGACAACTGAGTATGAGTTTTGGCTCACACACATGCATCTTTTATTAGCAAAACCAAGCACTGAGCATGCATACAATTATCTCCTCTGTCTAAAGCAGATACAAAGGTTCTTTTTCTAAGTGTACTCAGGATACAAAATAGCAAGCATATGTATTAATTAACTGGGAATATTTTGAATAACAGAAAAATCAACGAGTCTCAACTTATTTTGAGCAATTTGACTTTCTCAACTCTGAATCCTTAGAACTCTAAGTAGGATATGAGTAGCTTTGTAATTGAAGAGAATTTAAAATAACTTTGAGACTTTTTTTCAAGACATTCTGATTTAAAATGTGAATGCAAAAAATTCTCAGGCTGAGATCACTGGAAGCAACCTTCTGATGGTCTGATACAGCAGCATCAGTACAGCAGAAATAGAAACCAACAGCAGAAGAAACCATATCCAGGAAGATTCATGTACTGAGCTGAGATCCTCATGAATAAGGAAGGAAAAAATGTAGTTTGAGAAAGATGACCATATGGGGTAGCCTGCAGAATATTCTTTCCTCCTTATTCGAGGCCATTTCCACGACTGCACCCCTGCTCACTGACCTTGCCAGCACCCTCAGGACCCTGCTCCACCCACTACTACTCTCCTAACATAATTTCTGCCTGCCCACTCCCCCCTGGCTCTTTCCCTTCAGGATACCAATATGCCCACAGCTCTTCCATTTTAAAAGTCAAACCTGGGTGCTTGGGTGGCTCAGTCGGTAAGCATCTGACTTCGGCTCAGGTAATGATCTCACTCACAGTTCATGAGTTCAAGTCCTGCATCAGGTGAGCACAAGTCCCGCCTCTCTC